CTAAGAACATATTGACTCCCTTTGCTTTTGGCCCACCCGGGATCAGCATGGGGTTCCTTCACCACAGAGGAGGGCAATGGCTTAGTGGTGACAACCCACAAACAAGGGGCCAGGGGTCCTGCTATTTTGCTACACTGAGTGGAGCCTATGTCCCACCCCTGCTCCAAAAATTGCCTTGCTCAGACTCCAAGAGGAAAAGATGCCATACATAGGAAACTGATGACAATTTGACATAGCTCATATAAAACCTAGGGCAAGGGAATGTGAGGTTCCAGCCAGATGGCCAAGGTTCCCACTCCTCATCAGCCTTGCCGACTTGGGGCAAATGTCTCCCACAGTTTCCTCCTGTGTAAAGAGGGGAGGGTCCAGGTGCAGGTGGCTCACGTCTGTAATCCTAGTTACTCAGTAGGCTGAGATCTGAGAATTACAGTTTGAAGTCAGATGGGTCAGTCCATGAGACTCTTTACCTCCAGTTAACCACCAGAAAATCCAGAAGTAAAGGTATGGCTCAGTGATAGAGTGCTAACTTTTGGCAAAAAAAAAAAAAAAGCTAAGGGACAGTGCCTAGGCCCTGAGTTCCTGAGTTCAAGCCCCAGGTCCAACACACACACACACACACACACACACACACACACACACACACACACAGACACGGATAGTGACGACCTCGCAGCATAGTTGTGAAGGTTAGGCCGCTACAGGGAAACTCCAGCTCCTAAGGAGCCCTCATTTGAAGTGAGCTAGCCATAACCATGATGGAGCCATGTTTTCATCAGGCCCCTGGGAACAAAGAAAGTCAAGAAGTCTTGGAAATAAGATTTGTCATCGTGTGGCTGAGGCTATCTTTATGTGAAAGTTGTGTGCATAATTATCTCCAGATGAAAGCTTCCTGTCCTCAGCCACAATAAACAAGGGGTCCTGATGCCTTGGTAGAAGATAGTTCTGGCTGATGACACGGACAACTGAGTGCTTTCTGGGTTCTATTTGGAACCTGTTCACATAGATGCATCCTAGAAGCACACGTTCTAGAAGGGCCTAGAATACATTCTTGCCCATGCTTTTAAGAGATGAGCCAGATCACTTTTGCAATGTTGAAATTCTAGAAAGCCCCTGTTTCTTAAGATCTGTAGGTTTTCTGCTCTTACAGCTAATTTCTAAGGCCCCATAAAACTCTTTGAAAAAAACTCTTTGGTAGTTTTTAGAATAAGAAGTCATTGATCTTTTGACCATATAAAATATTTATCTAAGTGAAAAGGAAAAAGAAAAAAAAGTCATTGGTCAAGCCAGGCACATCATCTCAGGTACTCCAAGGCCAAAGAGGCTGAGGCAGAAGGATTGAAACCAGCCACCATTAAGAGCTAGAGGTACAACAGTAGCCTAGCATGCATGCTGCCGTGGACTCCTGGACACAAAAATAAAGGTATCACGTCAAGAAGAAAATAGGATCCATTTTTCCTTCTCTGTGATCCTGAACAAATACATTCCTGGGGGAGCAAGAACGCTGTTGCTCCTAGCATTGGTGCTAAGATATGACGAGTCTGAAAGTTCGGCTTACTAGAAAGGCAGCTCATGAGGGCTGGCTGTACATTTTATTAATGTCTCCCAATTCTGACTGAGCCAGACACAGAGTTTCAATCTGTTTGTTAAAAACGAATAAATGCAAATTAACCAAAGATGTGAGCATGTATAAAGAACTAACATTAGAAGCCAGGTTCTTTCTCCTGTCCATAAACTGCCTGTCAGTTGAGGTCTTTCCCATGACATCCCCCCTCCAGGCCACTCCCCACCCTGCTGGCAAATGCCTGCTCTCTCCAGGGTGCAGCCCCCATGTACCATTTCAGTGGTTTCCCCAAGGAATTTTCCTGCACAACTCTATCCCACAAATGACTGAAATACATTAAAACCATGGGCTTATTTTTAGACTGCTCAAAAGATGGAGATTCATCTTGGGCGCTGGTGGCTCACACCTGTAATCCTAGCTTGTCAGGAGGCTGAGAATCACGGTTCAAAGCCAGCCCAGGCAAGAAAGTCCGTGAGAATCTTATCTCAACCACCAGAAAACCGGAAGTGGTGCTGTGGCTCAAGTGGTAGAGCAACTTGCCTTGAGCTGAAGAGAGCTCAGGGACAGCACCCAGGCCCCACAACCGACCAAAAAAAAAGAAAAGAAAAGAAAAAAGAAAAAAGATGGAGATTCTTAGTTGTCCCTGTAACTCCAAAATGCTGCCTGTGTCATCAGAGATTACTGTCATGACAAACAAGTGAATTAGCAGGTGGAGTGGGGGTGTGGGGACATGGCCGTTGACAAACGAGGTACTGTGACTAATCCTGATGAATAAATGGCTCAACTGAGGCCACCAGAAATCCTTGTCACAGACATCTCATTTCATCCAAGGGTTGAAAACCTTGACCCAATGAATTTGCCACTATTTTTAAAAAAGGAAATTTGTCTAACTCAGTCTTTTAAGTACAAACCAGGAAAGGGCCAGGTTCTGGTGGCTCACACCTATAATCTTTGTTATTTAGGAGGCTGAAATCTGAGGAGCATGGCTTGAAGCTAGCCTGGGCATTCAAGTCCATGAGACTCCAATCCAAAAAACTGGAACCAGAGCTGTGCCTTGAGTGGTAGGGTGCCAGCCTTGAGCAGAAAAGGCCCAGTGAGTATAAGGCCTTGAGTTCAAGCCCCGGTACTGGTACAAGCAAGCAAGCAGGAAAGGGTAGACTTGGATGCAAATATCAGGAAGACCAATATTGCTTTCATAATGAAATAATTTATTATTTGTTAACGGTTGAACAATACAGAAGTTTACATATACACAGCAAAGGTTCTCTAAAACACGTAATAGTTTCTAAAAATGCATGTGCTAACTGTAGTAAAAAGCACCATTCTCTATGGTCTTGACACAGGATTTACATTGGCATTGTATTTACATAAAGAAATAAACATCTGGAAACAGAATTTCCTATTCTGTCATCTGCTGCTCTCCTGCCTAGGCTGTGTTTACCTTTAGGAAGATGTCCCCCCAGAAATTCCCCCTCCAATTGATGGATGACGAAATATTCCAAAAGCACCAATTCTTGGGATTTTAGGGGTAGAGGCAAGTTTAGTCCTCAGATAAAAGCCAAAATAAAGAATGACCCCCTTTCATCTGTCACCCTCAGAATAAGAAGTCAAAATTTAAAATCTAGATTATTTTACACTTGGGTGCCTTCCTAATTTTCATGTTATGATTTTGAGAGAAAGAAAAACATACTCAATTTCGTCAGCCATTCAATAGCTGAATCTAGCCATGCCAGTCAACTATTTCTTCTTCCAGAAGAATATAGTAAAAGGAAATCATCCAGGTAATATTGATAAATCATGATAAATCAAATATTGCACCCACCCCTAATCCAGGATCTTTGAGAACACCCACAATCTACAGAGACTGGCTATGTAGAATGAGACACCTCATTTAAAAGAGGTCTTTGGGCTGGCTGTCTTCTCCCAGGAAGGGGTTTTGAAGTCAGGAGTAGCCAGCTACTGAAACATGCCATATCAAAGAATCAAATGTAGAAAAGTAAGATTGACATGCAGGAAACTGACATCCACTACCTGGTGTTCAACACACAGGGATGGTAAGGCGGGAAGACAACGCTGGAGACACAAGTAAAGACCCAAGATTTGGGAGGAATAAATTATACAGCACAATGTAAATGACATTCTTGCCAATACAGTATGGTATAAAAAACTCTAAATAGTAATGTGCATATCTATCTAATCTGTATATATATGCATATATTCTTTTCAAAAATAAGTTCTCTCTTTAAGGAATAGGGAGGAAGGCAAGAGGAAAAAAGTCCACAAAAATCCATTATCAAGTCCTAAGATATTGCTAGAAGGTTATTTTGAGCATCACATCCCACCTAGTTTACAAGTTTGTCTCAGACTCCAGAATTTGCTCTTGGCCACATCAAAAAAGAGGGAAGGAGAGGCCGATAGGAAACCCAGGAGGGACTTTTGCTTTTAATGAAAAGAGAAAAGATATGGGATTTAGAACAAGACCCTGCTTACAAAAAAAAAAAAAAAGGAAAAATTCTTGCTTTAAAACCAAAACAACACTTAAGTGACCCACTGCAGAGTCAGAGTCTATGCAGTGCTCAACTCTGAACTGAAACTGGAAGTGTTTCAGTCTTGTGGTGACAGGAAGGGTCTAAGTCCTGCTCAATACTGTGAAGCTCTAGGAATGACTAAACTAGCTAAATTAGGCCTGTGAGTAGAGAAAGGAGCCAAAACTGTTGCTATGAGTACCTTGAAGAATTCAAGATCTCTGCTTAGCAAAAGAACAACTTCAAACATCCTGGGTATTCAGTGGGTCATTCAAAGCTGACCAGGGATGGAAAGCTGTGTTTTTGGAGGATGATACCAGAAGCACATATATATCTATTATTTGTTCCTCATGGCATGAAATTAAATTGGATGACCAACTCTTATTTTTCCATTTGCATTATGATAGTACCAATAAGCTTGGTTTAGATTTTAGTTTTTTAAAAGAACTTTCACATAAAAATATGCATGTGTCTATGTTTGTACACATCTATATTTATGTATAACCGTCAAAGTTCTAATGGCTGGGGTTTCTATCTTTGCCCATCCCCTACCCCCACTCAAGAATCTTAATAGATTTTTTTTTCATTTTGCTTAAGAAAAACCAAAACAAAAAGACACACTCTTAGCAGTCACGCTGGTGGATCAGTGAATGAGAGAGGACAGATTGGCAAAATCAGGGCTGCTGTTCAGCCATGAGGGGAAGAGGATTAGCTGCCTAGGGCTGAGTCTGCTGGTCCCAAGGTTAGTTTTGGTTAGAGAGAAGCTGTCTAGCGTGCTGACTTGGTCTACCTTGAGCTTTGAAAGTAATGTCTAACTAACCCTGGTGTCAGTTTATCACAAGTGCATTAAAAATAGAGAGATCAAGTTCCACATTTAGATGCAATCAAATTGAAAAGGACCAGACAAACAGTGCAAAGGTCAAATAATTACTGTTTTTATATTGGGACAGTACATTTCATATTTCAACCAAAAAGACCAAAAAAATGCAGTTTAAACTCAAAAGGCACAACATTTAAAACACAGAAAATAATGGCATCTCTCAGATGCCTTATTTGTAAATCAAACAAACAAGTACACAAATTTTGTTCCCTTCCCTCCCTCCCCGCATTGTAAGCCCACAAGCTCTTTCCAGAGTCTTGAGTTTTGATGCCAGGTGGCATGTAGCATTGTGGACTTGTGAGGCGCTTAGATGTAGCAATTAAACAAAACGCTTGAGAGGTCTTACGAATGCCATTCGAAAGGGACCTCAAAGTGCAGGCATATCTTCTTCAGACATGTTACAGGCTGAGCTGGCTCTTTGAACACTATCCCTCTGCTTTAAATCCAGGAAGCAGATTTTTAAAAATGCAAAAGGCATACAAGTTGTATTTCAGTGCAAATCTTCAGCTGGTAATTGGAAAAGATTCCAACAATTAAAAAAATTCCTTTGTCACCTGCCCCTCCCACCAATCAAAGTCAAAATGAAGGGGGTGAGGGGAACCCCGAAGTGTTATGATGACTTTGGAATCACTGAGGAATCTGCTACTTCCAATTAAATCTTTTTTTAATACATTAAGGAATCATTAAAAAAAAACATGAAAAAGATCTTGCTTTGTGTAGACTGCTCTTCATGTATCAGATGAACTCCAGCGCAGACTATGTTTGAACTTGAAGGTGGAGGCGCTTGACGTCGTGCAAGGCTGAGGTGTGCCCGTGACCACAGCACAGTGGGGGCCCAGGGTGGGTGCCCACCGCGAGCGAGCCAGCGTGGAGCCCTCCAGTTGCGGTGCGCCTTGGATTTTAAGAATGTTCTATTGTTTTGTGACACATGCTCTACTTCAGCATCACAGATTTTACAAATGGTTCCAATTCAATGAAAAGGATTCACCAGAGGCTTGACAATATCAAGCCCTCAAAAAGATGAATGCAAAAATATTATGGGGAATGAACCAATTTTGTAGCTACCTACATACAAAGTGGCTAGAACATCTATAAAAGCACAAAGTCATAAGAATTTATTTTCCATTACATTAGTTTATATAAAATGAATAAATAGTATTTATAGATTTCATGTGTTTTATGTACATATACATGTGCTCTGTTTTTAGCTTAAATAAAAATGCTACAAAGTGGGAGACCACTTACAGGAGAAGTAATAACCAAAGAGAAAAAAAAATCAGCCTTTTAAACTATCAACCCAAAAGACTCCATAAAGAAGTTTCTTGGTGAATCAAAAAATAAACAGCCCAGAGAGGAATTCTCATACGGAATCCCTCCTGTTCACCTGCACCACAGACAGTAGAAATGTGGACTTTTTCTTTCACTGATGATGGCTACCAGCTCAGCTAGTGCCAAAGCTCAGTTATTGCTGAAAGTTAAATAAGAAAATAGATTAGACTTGGACCAAATGTCACTTATTTGGGGAAAAAGAGAAAAGAAAAAAAAGAAGGCGGCATAATCACTTTTGTTAAGTGGGAAATGGAGATCTCATTTATCTCTGAGGTAGGAAAAAAAATGTTCCAGAGACAAGTAGCATTACCAAACTTGGAGGGGGAAATGTGCCTTGAGACAGCAGATGACAGCAAGTTCCCAAGACCCACACACACAGATTGTACCGTTTTGTTTGCGAGAAGAAACAATGTTGGAACTTCCCTAAATTGTGCAATCCCAGAGACACGCTGTCAAGGTGTCTGTTTTAAAGTGAGGACTGCTCTCTCCACATGTGGTGGGTACGTGGGGAATCGGCCTGGGCTGTGCCTGGAGGGCACTTCCAGGAGGTGTCCCCACTTCCTCACAGGGCCAGGGCTGGGGCTAAGTGCTCTTCAATTTCACTTTCAAAGCTTACTTCTGAGTTCTGAGATCCCGATCTCAGCTTCCAAAGATCATTTCCCTCAGCTTAGTTTCCTAAGCACAAGTCACATTTGGACATTTCTCCTAGGAAAGTAACAGCAAGCCAGAAAACAGAACGGTCTGGTCAACTACATGAAGACAGTAAAGAAGAGGGGGGTGTGTGTGGGGGGGTGCTGCTGAGATGTGAAAATTGCTCATTCAGTCTAAGAATTCTTGGATGCTTCGAATTGATTGGAATGTACAGTCTCGTAGAGACAAATTTTGAGAGACACACACATACAGAGGCTAGTAGATGCAATCAGAAACCCAATCCTACGAACTTCCTCAAAAACTTTGACAAAGCTGATTTGGTAAAGGTGGTACACTGAAGTTTGCGTGCAAGAGTATCATGGGTAGGTCCCATACGCTACCTAATCAGATCCATCGGGACAACCAGCAGGGCGGCAGCTAGGTGACCACTGTCTCCTATAGCCCGAGACATGTCTTGCGACTGTCCTGGAGCTTTATTCTCTTGATGCCGGAGCTGGAGTAACCCTCGTCGCTACCGAGGCTCTGCATGCTGCCCCGCTCGTCAGAGTCACTCACGCTGCTGCAGCTCCAGTCCAGGTCCCCTGGCAGGCAGTCTGTGCTTTCCACGTCCACGTCGATTTCTTCTGTGGGGAGGATGAGAGAGACAGACACACATGGGTGGGGCATTCTACGAAGAACTCAGGCTGTGAACCTCTATGCTCCCTTTGGGCGCATGGGTGGCTGGAAGGGGGGAGGGGGACTCACCCCTGTCAGAGTCGGAGCGCTCAGAGGAGACCGTGGATCCGATGCTGTCCATCCGAATCCTCTCGATCCCCAGCTTCTCCAGCTGCCTCTTCAGGTGCCGCTGCTCACGCTGCAGCTGGTCTATTTGGTGAATGGCTTTTCTGTCACAATCTTCAAGTTTCTACAAGTCAAAAGGTAGTTGTTGGAACCCATATGGAACTTTCCAAATTGCCAGTGACCCTCCATATTTCACTTCTAGCAGTGAAATGTGTCATTGGCCCCAGACGTCATATGGTGTGTCACTTGGCAGCCTTGTTTCCATGTTTATTAGATGGCGGGTGACTGGGGGCTTCACAGGGCACTGGGGGTGAGCCAGATACTCTGACATCTGTACCCCTCAATCTTGGGAGTTGAAAAGCTGGCAGGAAGGAATCCACAGCTCCGTTTCCTGGTCTGTAGCGATCCCAAACACATCATCTCTCTGAACTAGAAAACTGCATGGACTGGGAACTGAGGAAACACGCTTCTCTTTAAAATTATGTTTATTCAAGTACATGCCCCAATTACGTAAGCACTTTTTTGTGTCAGGCCAAATCCCAATTAACTTCTGTTGTTAGCAGGAAATAATAGTCCCTCTTGAAATCCTGATTCCAAATTATCCAACAGAAGAACTCAAAAACAAATTTCCGTAGATGTCTTCTTTTTGCAAATCTACCCCCTAGATTCTCATATTCTTCAGATAATTAAGAAGAGTATTTAACTGTAGCTGTTTTGTTGTAAATAGAGGGTCTTTTTCTCCCAGAATTGTTATATATGAAGGCTAGAATGCTATTTACCTAACTAAACAGTGATTTTGGCTATGGCTCTCAGGAATTCAAACACAGTTCACCTCTCCCTTTGCTGTTCATGCTGGATACTGAGGGTCAGCTCTGGGCTAGCCGCTCATGAGTTTCCCTCATGTATAGTCTATAGTCTAGTAATGGAGACACCACATAGTCATGTAGAACACCACCAAATGTTTACTGTGACAGGAAACAGGTGGCGGAGTCTGGAAGGTCAGCAAAGGCTCCTCTGAACTGGTGAGACCGGTACAGAGATCTGAAGGATGTGTAGAGGTGAAGCAGGTGGAGAAGTAAGGGGACAGCATGCTGCAGAGGGAACAGCACAGTGGCCCTGTGCTTAGAGAACTAGACAAGCACGGAGGACTAAGGAGGAGCTAGACATGGAGTATGGCCCATGTATGCTGCCACAGAGGCCAGGGAGAGCCAGGTCAGGGAGAGCTGGAGCAGACCTGTGACTGTTCTGAGCCACAGAAAAGTTCAAAACAGAGGAACGTGTGTGGCAGGATTGTTCAGGAAGCATGGTGAGCAGATTGGAGTGAAAGGAGGCCTCTGGGGTGGAGTGAAGATGGAAGCAGAGCAGGTTGTGAAATATTTAGGTCATCAAGACGGCTTAGAGAAAGCGTCTGAGGAACAGAGGCTACCCGGGGCCTCCAAGCACCCAGAGAGCGAGGCGGGCCGTTTGCTCTCAGGTGTCTGGGTGTGAGAATACACAGTTGGGTTTGAACATGTTGCATGTGATGTGCCTGTGGGTCATCCAAGAGGAAAGGTGGAGAAATTCAAAAGAGAGGAATATCGTGGAGATACACATCTGTTCTTTATAACAACACACAAACCTTCACTAAACAAGATGAAGAGACATACAAAATACACTTACCTTTATGTGCAATTTAGCTTTTGTTAATAAACTCAACGTTGTATGTCGATTGGATTCAGGTCCAAGCGGCACCAAGCCCTTCAACTTCTCCAGGCACAAGCGAAGATGAGCCCGTCTAGAAAGACAAGATCACAGTAGCATTTGAGCTTCAAAATGGGCTGGAAAGCACCCCATGGAAAAATGGGCTCTAAAAGTGCATGAAGTTGCCCAATTTCATACAAATGGCAAATGCTACCAATGACATGGTTTGAAGCTAGATGATTGGGAAAAACCAACAAGAAGCAAAATTCAGGCTTTCTAAGTGAATTCTATTTATAATACAAATGTTAGGGGTAGGGATTTAATCTGCTATTATTAAGCATATTTATCAGGCTCTCCAGGTTTCTGTAATCCATAAGATATCCAAATCAGAAAACTGTGACATGCTAGGAGGGGAAGCTTTTCAACCCATGCAACCCTTCAACCATTTCAACCCTTTCAAAGCCACTAAATCACTGTATCACTGCTGTCACTAGTATTTACATATAAGAATGACATGTATAGATGTATTACTGAGGCTTTATTTGCTATAGGAAAGATGGAAATAACTCAGATCACCACCACAAGGAGTTGCCTAGAATTATGGTAATGCTTCCATGGGAGGGAAATTCACCTGCAGGCAGGGATGAGAATGTGTTCTGTGGACAGTGAAGAAAGATCTTCCAGTTGGGCACTGGTGGCTCACGCCTGTAATCCTAGCTAGTAGGGAAGCTAAGATCTGAGGATCTCGATTCAAAGTCAGCCCAGGCAAGAAAGTCCGTGAGACTCTTATCTCCAATTAACCACCAGAAGTGGCACTGTGGCTCAAGTGGTAGAGTGCTTACCTTGAGCTGAAGAGCTCAGGTACAGCACCCAGGCCCAGAGTTCATGACCAAAAACAACAACAAAAGATCTCCCAGACACTCTTAAGTGGAAAAAAGCAAAGCATCAAACCTGACACAACTTGTGTGAAAATGGAGGGAAATAATCAATTGTTATGTTTTCTTGTATAATGACTGGCTGGGGAGAGAAAAAGCAGGATATACACATATAAGGTAAGGTAGGAAGGAGAATTTTTATTGAAGTTTTTATACTTTTTTATTGTTCTTTTCAATCTATTGATATTCTAAAAGTTAAAGGTACTTTTATAAAGTAAGGGGAAAGTACGTCATTGTCAATGTGGCACTATTAAAAATGTGCCACACAGCAGAGGAGAGCTCTTTCTCTATTTTGGGGTCTGACTGGCTGGTGCAATGGGACCGAATAGGAGCGTGACCAAGTCTGGCTGAGGAGGAGGTCCGCTCAAGAGGCTTTTGTCAGAGAAGGACCAGACACGTAGAATCCCCACAATGTTGCAAGTTTACATGATTAAAACTTGGCTTGAACCTTACTCTAGAATCCAGCAGATTTCATGAACATGAGAAACAGATTAAGATTCAGAAGCTTTTGTTGAGACCACCAGCCCCTAAAGCCTTCCTAAGACACAGAGAGTGGGCCTCCATTTTCTAAGTGTTTTGCTTATAGCTAATATTCCCTGGGAGGTTCCTGACACTTTCCTGCATTGTTTGGTATTGGTCATTTAATCATGTGCTGCCAACTCCTTAGGAAGCTGGGGTTGGGGCTTAATCATTGCTCTGTAGCCACAGTGGCTCCAGCACACACACTTAATAAGTGTTTGCTGATGGATTGTATCATCTGAACAACTAGACTTTGGACTGTTGGAGGCCAGAGTCCATCTCTATTACATCTCTGCATGTGCTTCCACACACAACTACTTGGGGTAGAGCTCCTTAGCACCCAGGAGCTACTCTTTAGCTGAACTGGGAAATGATGAATGTCTTTTGGTCTTGCCCTTTCTTCCTCTTAAGAATCTTTCTATATTAGCAAGAGCTGGGAATGCAGACCAAAAGAAGAAAGGCATATCAGAAAGCTGTAGCACAGGAAAATAGTTTCATATTGACCAATTCACATTGACCAATCCATCAAGACAGGATATTCCCCCAAGGCAAATCTACTGTATTTTTTTTTTTTGTCAGTGCTGGGAATCAAACCCAGGGCCTAGTAAGTATTCTACCATATAGCTATATCCCTTAGCCACTTGTGTTTTGAGATAAGAGTCCTACTGTTTAGCTTAGGATGCCTCCTGTCCCAGTGTCTTGAGTGCTGGGATTACAGGCATGTGCTACCACAACCAGTGATCTAATTAATACCTGCTGCTCTCATACCTTTCTTGTAAGGTTCAAGCATCTGAATCATGACGAATTGGTCCTGGATGTTCCAAGGGCCTCTATTCGTGACTTGAGGAATACAATCCTCACTTCTCAGCCAGGAAGAGGTAAGGACACACATATTTTACAGTTTTTCAAGATTCCCACTTGAAGTCCACTCCTGTCCAAGTGGAAGAGCCACAAGCAAAGACCTACATCAACACTAGCAGGCTGCCCCTCCCCTTGCTGCAGGGGGGCCAGTTAGAACATCAGGAGCTATGTGCAAATGTTAACCTTAGACAGTATTCTTTAGAACATACTGTGTTATTGGAAACACTTTGAGGAAGTATAGTCACTTCTAGGGTTACATTAGTGACTTGCCACTTATGTGTTCTCACTGTAAAGTCTGCAGACTAGTTTTCAAGTTGAGAGAAAAAGTTCAAAGTTAAAATTACATTTGGACATCTTTCAGCCTGCTTGTTGGCTGCAAAGACTGCATGACTCAGAACAGTGCATATTAGTCTTTTAATGATGTGGTATATGTATAGATATGAGTATGTAAAGTTTTTAGGAAGTTTGTCTACTGATAAGAAATATAAGAAAGTCATCTTTCAATGCATCATCATTTCTAGCTGTACTGGAGCCCAGCCCAGAAAACACTGCTTTCACTACCTAAATGTGGGTTTCCAAAGAATTCTTCCAGTGTGCAACTAGAAATAAGGCTTTGGACTAATTGAAGCTGAGGGTAGTACCTGTTTAGTCAGTCCTTTTTTGTTTTTCTTAGTTCTACAAAATTAGGCTCTGAATTCTTTCTGGATTTTTGCAGACACTCAAAGCTAACTTTTGCCTTTGGCAGTGCCTGCCTTAACCATTGGGTGCCTAATTGCTGGAGCCTGATGGTTGTCCTGTCCCATTCATACCATTGCCTGGGCCAATCACAGAGGGAGAAATATATATTAAGCAGTTAGGTTTGACCCCTGTACCAGATAAGAAAGCAAACAGATTCCTACTGAGAACCCTCAACCCTGAGACAGCCCGACACACACACACACACACACACACACACACACACACACACACACACACACACACACACACACACACACACACACTCCTGGGGTCTGGAATTCTTTAGCCAGCCTTGAGTATCCATAAAACTCCCAGATCAAGAGCAAGCAGCACAAGCACCTACCAAAGATTACTTATGAGTCCCTGCCCCATTTTAACCCACCTCTAATTCCTCTCAGGGAACTAGAAGGGATCTTGCTACAGATTGTCAACAGTAAGCCACCTAGTTTTCTTTTTTCTTTCTTTCTTTTTTTTTTTTTTTGTCGGTTGTGGGGCTTGAACTCTGGGCTTGGGCGCTGTCCCTGAGCTCTTCAGCTCAAGGCCAGTGCTCTACTACTTGAGCCACAGTTCCACTTCCGGTTTTCTGGTGGTTTATTGGAGATAAGAGTCTGGACTTTCCTGCTCAGACTGGCTTTGAACCGTGATCCTCAGATCTCAGCCTCCTGAGTAGCTAGGATTACAGGCGTGAACCGCTGGTGCCACCTAGTATCTTAATCTGACCCCTCCTCTTGTCTCTCCCACCACCACTTCTTCTCCCTAAGACAGTCTTCTTCCTGTTGCCAATGGCTTCTCAGTTCCCAGCCCTGACAGAAAAGGGTTGTGCCAAGTGCTGGCTCCTCCTGCTTCTAAACTGCCTATTTTGGAGCCGAGCCATACTGTTCTGCACCTAGGTTATGAACCTTAACAAGCTTTGCCTGCTGGATCACTAAAGATCTCTTTAATTTTTTTTGATTTTTTTTAATTGTGAAAATACCATACAGAGAGGTTACAATTACATGGGCAAAATAACGAGTGCATTTCTTATCAAGTATTGTTGCCTCCTCCTTTATTTCCCCTTCCCATCCATTCCCATTACCCAATCCCCCCCACCAAAGTTATAAAGTTCTTTTTCGACATAAAGATCTCTTTAATTTTTGAATATGTCCTGATACAGCAGCATAAGGAAATCATATATTGACTTTATAGAAATATAAGAAAGTCATCTTCCAATATATCATTTCAGGTTAGACTAGAGCCCAGCTCAGAAAACACAATTTCCACTACCTAAACGTTGATATTAGTATAGTGATAAAAGATAATGGTTTGGAATACTGGCATTGTCACTTACTCCATTTGATCTTGAACAAATTACTTAACTTGACAGCATGAGTGTCTCCCCAGGTAGCACACGGCTGACTCGATCTGCTTGAGGGCCACTGAGCATATGGTGACTGCCCTCAGGCCTGACACAAAGCAGTAGTCCATATATGGCTGCACTTTCAGTCTTAGCTTCCTCTGCAGCAGGCTTATTACTGTAAGCCACTATAGCATTATAATATTCCTTTTATAATCTTTTTATAATATTCCTTCCATAATCAACCTGGAGAGCCACCTTTCAGAGAACATAAACTCACTCACACAGCAAGAAGAAAGTATAACATATGTAGGAACAAACTTAAAACAGTTTGGGAAGGATCTATGGGAAGAACACTATAAAATGTTGCTGAAGGACACAGGAAAATCTGAGTAAGTGGAAAACAGCACATTCCTGGATATGAACCCTCAAAGTAAAAATGCCAATGTTCCCCAAGCTTGTCTACAAAGTTAAAGCGATTCCAAGAAAACAAAGTCCCAACAGTATTCTTTAATTCATTAAATGCTGGGAAATTAGTCTAAACTTCATCTAGGAGAATAAAAGTGTGAGACACTGCCAAAGTTTTTGAAAAAGAATAATGAGGAGGAATGTTTTGTACCAGATATTAAATTGTATTATAAAGCTTCAATAATTAAAAACACAGTAGTACTTATGCAGGGACAGACAAATCAAGTGAAAGAATAAAAA